GCCAATGTCGAAGTCACAATATGGAAGCTTTTCAAATACCAATGAAGAAAGGTGCTGCGACCGAGTTCTCTCTCTCTCTCTCTCTCTCTCTCTCTCTCTCTCTCTCTCTCTCTCTCTCTCTCTCTCTCTTTTCGGGCGTCCGAAACTTCGGGCGTCGGAAACTTCGGGCGTCGGAAACTTCGGCTATGCCAAAAGAAGACTCAGAAGACTCAGAAGAAGAAGAAGAAGAAGAAGAAGTAGAAACGGAAGAAGAAGGAGAAGAAGAAGGAGAAGAAGAAGGAGAAGAAGAAGAAGAAGAAGAAGAAGAAAGATACAACCACTTACCTTGACCAGTGAACGACCGGGGGGGGGCAGAGGCCATGGCGTGCCGTGCCCGACGTGACGAGGGGCGCAGTCGAAAGTCGGGTGGTTTCCCGCACTCGTCACTGCGACGAAGTGTTGAAGTGACGAGGAATGCTTCACACGGGGTTGCGGGGGCCGACGCTGGCCAGTTGAATTTCGGGTGGTTTCCCGCCCGAATGTTCAAAAACAAGCGGCCTATCTGGGCCGCCGATCTCATCAGATCGACAGCCCAGATAGGCCGCCAGTTTTTCAAGATTCTGGCGGGCCTACTGGACCCGGTTCATTTTTTTTTGGGGACGGAAGGCCTCCACGACCCGCAGGGAGGCCTCCCGGCCCCCGAAAAAATTTGAAATTGGCCGCTACCCGTCGGCGCAATTTCCTACCGGGGGGGAACCGGCGCGGTCCACCGGTCTGTGCCACCGACCTGGTTCCGGTGGGGGAAGGACCCCCCAGTAGGACCGGAAATTCAGCCCTGTTCGAAAAGGAACTTAAACCACAACTACACGGCCCCAGCCTTGCAGTCCGAAACTTGTCGCCACAAGAAAACGAGGCCGAAACGTCAAACACTGGGCCCACCGTTGTTAAATTCGATCGGCGGCCTCGTTTTCGTTTCGCGCCTCGAGAATTTGAGGTGTCAGACCCGCGGCCCAGGTGCCCATGTACCGGTGCTTTAAAAGACAAGCCTAGACTTCAGACCGGTGCCGTTTTTGTAACGGCAGGGGCCGTAAGTAGAGGGCCTGAATTCAGAAAGGCAAAAAAAGTGTCCCGCTAGTCTTTCTTTTCTTTTTTTTTGCTGGCAATTGCAGATTCCATATTACTATAAACTAGCTAAGTGCCCATGGTGCAGGCTATGCCCGCAGAAATAACAAATGCAGTGGGTGATCCTATTAATCTCTTCTGGCCAGCGCACTTTGCCAAAGGGCTGTACCAACACTGGCTATGGGGAGGAGAAGGTGCTTCTCTTGCAGGAAGAGGCAGGGGATGAGTTTGGCCGGGATAACGGCCTGACAGTTGGATTAGGGAATGGCGGGAGTGAACCGTCTTGTGATGATCTGCAGAGTTCAATGACTTCACGCAGTTCAAG